AAGGTACTCTATATTCATTTAGTATACTTAAGAATTGATCTACACTAGTATAGGCCGCCTACCAGGGTACTCCAATGAACTTCATTCTAGGTTTTCCTTTTCACAGTTTCCAAGTGTTATTCATTCTTTTGATGTCTTCCTTCAATTCTTGACTCTATATATGTCTTAGGTATGCCTCATGATGTAATTTGATGATTTCTTTAATAATCTATATTATAACTATACCGAAACAGTCAGTCAAGTCGTTTTATTACTAACTTTCATCTTAATAAAATTAGAATAAAAATGTACACAGACAAGTTAATGGATATATATTCTCATTATACACGGATGTCAATTGTACATTTCTCTCCTAATTCTCCAACTGACTACATAGTTCCTTTGTAAAACATTCAAGTATAAAATTGAACCCACAATTTTTTTTTCTTTTTCTAATACCGAGTTGATAAAAAGATAACCATGTTCAATTTGTTCATCTCAAATACACAATTTAACATTCACCAGATGGTGAATTTGACCTCGATTAGTTGGAATCAGTCTAATGACTACATCACAAAATCATTATCATGTTAGACAATTGCCATGTTAAATGCACATACATACGCACACACACACGCGCGCATATCTATTGAGGTATATATATATATATACACACACAAATATATTGATTATTCTGAGGGCAGGGGATTTGACTAACCAGTTTGACTCATACAATATTTTAATGCAATATGGATTAATTTAGCACTTCAACAATGAAAAAAATAAACAGGGTAGAGAATAAGAACAAAGATTCCTCCTAGATAGATAGAATGACGAACAAAGGCACTATTCAATAATGGTGGTATACATAGTTCAAATGAATAAAGACATATATATATATAATAAATAGAAACCGGTCACCAGAAAGAAGACAAAAGAGGGAAGAGGCAAAAATTTAGAAATGGGACAACAAAGAAACGCATATGAAATGGTTGGGTTATAGGTTTGACTACGGTCAACATACTATAAATTCTAGAAGGAAAAAAACAACAACGAATAAGACCATTGTATATGACCTGTAAATGTTCAGGTCAATGGAGTATGCAAAGAAAAATAAATTGAACCCCATTTATATATTATGTTTGAATAATCAGAGGGTTTTAGGCCGTTTTACTAACCGAAATGAATCCAACGAATACAAAGATAGTCAGAAAACCTGCATTTTTTATTTTCCATATAATTTTAATACCGTTTAATTAGTGATGTATAACCATGTCTAAGTGACTAGCATGTTCAATTTCCAACCAACATTTCGCGGATCTGAATCAAATGCCATTAATATTTCGTTTGGGCAAGTGGACAGAATCAGTAATTCTTCAACATACAAAAAACTGTGACTTAAACTTCAGTTTATAAACCCATACATTGTAAATGAGTTATATCAATAATCTGCAACAAATTCTTTGAAAAACCTAGTTGATCAGATCAACTCCGTCTTCTCATTGTTCTATCGAAATAGAACTAATAGCCCAATGATTATGGTAGTTGAGGTGTTTCCTTAACTTTTAGTCATAAATACTCATGTACATTAAGATGATGTCATTAGAGCATAGGAGACTCCTGACAAGTTAGTCGATTCTTTATCATTATCAGTCAGATTATAAGAAACCACGCAGAACCTGGTACATATGTGTACCGGTCTACATTGTTTTACTAAATTAGAATTGAGAAATGAAATTAACAAGATGTACATCAAAGTAATAGTAGTAGGATCAGCAAGTGAAAAATACAATGAATTAGAGGAATGACGTAAGACCATTTCGAAACAACACATCTAAGGGAAGATAAATAGTAAATGCGCCCCACCCCACCCCCAAATTGAGACGGATTCCCAGCAATGTCATTTAACGTCTTCAGTCATATATAGCAATCATCACAGACCTTAAGCATGTAGAATGTATTTAACAACCTAGTTCAAATCAACAGTCAATGAATAAATGGATTGTTATGACGATTTGTTATGGCTTATCCTAGTCTTGAATTCTATTGCTGAGGTTATTATTGTTTTTATGCTGAATGCATAATCAGTCAGTCAGCTACAACGTACGACCAGGCACATATATGCATCCGTCCAAGTTTCCATACTGCATTAGCACAAGATGATCACCGGATTCATAAGAGTGGTTAAGTCGATGGTGGTAATATATAAAAGAAAGATTGCATATAAGGAAGAAAGAATCAGTTGGTAGAAAGAAAGATATGAAGCGATTTTAATCTCTTAGTTTAAGGGAAGACAGAGAGTGTATACATAGAATAAACCATGAGAATAGAATGTAATGCAAACTGAAACAGAGTACGATTATCGACCAAGAAAAATCGAGTCTAAAATGAATTATGGATGCAGAACAGGTATGAAAGTATGAGCTTGAAAAAAAAACCCAACCAGAAGTGATAAACGAATTACAAACTATATTCAAATAAACTTGATTAGGATTTCGGTTTAAGTCGACTGACTGACTGACTTATAATATTACGTATGTACTAATAACCAATAACTGATAGTTGTCACACAAACACACAAAGTAAAGCTATCAACTAACAGCATTTGTACATTTATCATAAAGTAACCAGTTAATTGGTTATAAAGCCAGTGACCAATCAGTTTAAATACCTCATTCGTTGTGAGAATATCATAATAGTAACGTCTGAGACTGTAAAACTGAGTAACAAGGCTAAGAATTCCACTAAGAACATAATTTACTTCAAGATTTCAGGTACGCTATAGTGTCGAATATCAAGTAGCATAAAACCACACATACATGATTTAATGTCGACTACCTGCAACCACCTAGCACTAAAGTGAAGTTAGGGAGCATAATTGAGCGGTTGTGAATACAGGAACTACAGCACAGAATCGAAAATAACAAACTGATGGCTCCTAATACATTATTTATTTATTTCAACACATAAATATTGGTTCAAAGGGACACCAAATATATATGCGCCACACAAAACAATGAGAATTTAAAGAGGAGAAAAAAAGGTAGGGAACGTAGGGAATTATAAAAAAAGAACAATAATGGGGGGAACGGAAAGGTACAATCAGAAGAAATCTTCCAGTCAAGGAAGAAACAACCACTCTTTACGAAGAAAGTAAAAGAAGGTTACAGCAGGATCGCCAATGGCTTCTATTCTGAGCCATATCTGATAACGTCTCTAGCCACTGCGTTACACCGTCTCTCGGACCCCAGCCAGGGAGTCGTGAAGGACCAACAGAAGCTAGCCCTTTGCAGCTTTCTTTCATGCCACGACACCATGTCATATACTGACCACCTCTCCGCTTTTTCCAACCAGTCCCAGAGTCGGCAAATAATGCACGACGAGGAATTCTCTGGGACGACATTCGTACAACATGTCCAAGCCACCGAAGTCGGTGTTTCAAGATGGTGACACTAATTGCATTATCGTCTCTTTGCCCGAACACACGATGCTGAACCACTGCATTACTAACATGGTATTGCTACTAATATAACACCATAAATTACCAATCCCCAACTATCTTAACAATAATAAACTGCAATATGAGATTGAAATTGAGTAAAATACTGATAGTGACCATATCGATAAGACACACACACACAATAAAATCTAATACCTCGTTATATTAGCATTTTTGGTAACAATTTGTTACCCAGGAAATGTATATTTCCTGTAAAAGTTACTTCATTAATTATTAACATAGATCATGCATTGTTAACCGAAACATACATATGATCAATCAACATTAACTAATTTATTTAATTCTATTATCACCTAAAGATTTATGTATATGATTGTAACCTACATTTCCTTTACTTGTGAGAATAAGGCAAAGAACACTTCAATAATCTATACACAATTCTTTATATCCCTTCTTTTTTCCTCTTTCCAAATTTATTTCACTGGATTATACTCTTTAAAATAACATCTTCAAATCATAATCTTTCCAATTACTGCTTATACTCTTATTACACCTCTACCACTATGGGATTTTAATCGACAACTGTATCTCTGTGCTAATGTGGTATGGCAACTCGATACACCACAGCAAATGTATTCAATTGTCCCTTGAAATTGATATCATCTAAGAAACTGTCATTCTTATGTTAAGTTAGTTCCTCCGATTGTAATTGTGTGACGTGTACCAGTTCAGTCAGATACATAGAACATATTATCTATGACTGAATAGTAAAAGATCAGTGAATTCACAATGTACAATAGAAATGTGTACACAGTTCTCGTAAAAGTTATATGATGAAACACATTTACTGTAATCAGATGCAGATGAATATAAGTGGATTCAAGTAAACATTCTAAATGTGAGAGTTGATGGTATTACATTGTTGTTCAAATAGGAGATTCATTGGATGGAAATTGAAAGATTTAACTGATAACCACCGATCTACGTTCAATACATAGATACCATTTCCAGAACGAATTAATGTTTCAACTAATTCGTCATTCATTATATCTCTATATAATAGGATATGTCCTAAATTCGTTACTTGAAAGTTTAAGATAATCTAAAGTTAATCAGTTATGAACGATGAAAAACCTAATACAAATGTACAACAGAGTAAACTTGGTAAGATCCGAATAATTTTCTTTCCCAATTTATTCCACTGGACTATACTCCTTTAATAACATCATCAAACCTTAATGTCCCCTATCTCTACTTATACTTTCAGTACCTCTACCACTATGGGATTTGAATCGATAACTGAATCTCTGTGCTAATGTGGTATGGCAACTCGAACTGATGTACGTACGTACGAAGTTCCACGTTGTTACTGACTGACTGACTGACTGAATTGTAATCACTAGTGAACAACTCTCATAGTAACCTATCGTATAATTTTGTTATTATAATCACAAAATATAATAAACTACATTCTAATGTATTTAAAAGTGTGCACAGTATTACAATAATTTAATCAAATAATGAATCACCCCATAAAAATAACATGGATATAATGACTTACCGTGTAAACGTAAAGTACTTTCATGGCATGAATCATTCGGTGTTACTTGACGTGAAATTGATTTATTTGTAGATGCTGGAGCGGAATGTCGATCAAGTGGATAAACATATGTTGGTGAAGAATGAAATGTATTATGTGTGAAATCTCCATTTACTTTAGGTATATTAGAATTTGGTCGTCTAGATTCACATAATATGTTAGAATTAACTATTCCAATATCTGTATCAGATTTTGGATCTAAACCATTATGATGTTCAGTGGAATGATGATCTAACATCATCATCATCATTGTGTATAAATTATATTAATCCGAATTTATTTTGTTAATTCACAATTTAATTGTAATGATTACTCCTGAGATGAAATTTTAAAGCGACAAATAAATGTCGCAGAATTGAAAGCAGCAAAAAACCACCTTAGTGATGCAAAAAAAATAAAAAATAAAAAAGTATTTCACGCCCAAAAAATTCTTTAGTCAGGACAATGATAATAAAACTAATAATTCTCACAGGCCAAAATTGACTGTCCCAATCACATGTACACATGTAACAGACAGATAACAATCACATGCAAACAATCACACAGTCAATATATACATGTCATATATGAATACACATACAATATACAGTCAGACAGGAAGATAGCACAACATGTACCTCAACTCTAAATTTTGATTCGTTACCCATATTATCTGACCCACTCCCCTAGCTCAAAGGAAAGACTGCAGTTAAATGCGTGTCTTCATTGTTCATTTCGTATCCGAATAGCTCACATAATATAAATTGAGTTTTTATTGGTTAAAACTGGGTCGTGAATGTCATGGTAACGCCCATTATTTCTATTGGTTAGTCTGGATTAGCATGTACGATCAGCATGATAATTTGCACGATTCTCCTTAAGAATTGACTCATAAATGTGGTCTTTGGTCTGGGCTGTACTATATTAAATAAAGTTAACATATGTTTGTAGGTTAAACATCAATGGTGCTATGCGTCGTTTTATATAAGCAACTGCTTTACACTACATGTCAAAGGATTTGAGTTTGTCTAGCGCCTATTTTTAACATTTATATGAACCACGATAAAAGTGTACACGTTTATATTCCTGGGAACTTATTAGCAGCGCGCTTCATTGTTTGAAAGATATTCAGTGTAGTTTATTTTTCTGGTAATAAAGCGATTATTATTATCAGTACTAAAAAAGTGTCCGCAACTCTTCGTATTTCAACCATTGGTTCGAATGCTGGTGATAATGGTATGAACAGTACCTGAGTCATTTGACATACGGAGTAACTTGTAATGATTTACCATAGTAGTTAGACTCAATTCAAGGGCTCCCCAACAGTCCTATAGCATGAGTTGACTAAAATTGGCAATTCTAATCACTAGATTATGATTCAATAGTCTAAACATTAAGACATCACTACCGTGACAGGAGATTACAGACTCGATCTCTGTCATGGCTTTGTGTGCTTACTGCTGATGATGAGTCTCATAGTGGGACGAAACCGTTTCTCACTACTTCGTGGTTCTAGTTAACGAGTGCCAGTACGCATGACATAAAATCGTAGCAAACCGCAGTAATGTCAGTTGGAGTCCCAGAGCAAACATCAACTCCGGGATGTAAATACATCCAGACGACGAGTCCCAAATGGAACGAAACGCGTTCCTGGATTCCACTGCTAGCTACCGTCCATTCTTGCTTATAATGCATGTGACTTAATGGTAATTTCGAAGCAATTCACGCACGATGCATATATGCCAAAAATCAGAATGACCGATTGCAGTTCTAAACATCAATGGAAAGATTCAAGCAACCAATGCAGATATATGCAAGCTTTATAATCATTAATTAATGCATTGATCACACCGTCAATAATATTTACGATAGAAATATGATTGATCTTTGTTGGCATATATGTATTCTGTCTAATTGTCTTGATATAGCTGTTTACACCAGTTTTACACAACAAATGCACTGTGGCTTGCATTGGAATCCAGGACGCCCATTTTGTCGCGCTCTGTTGAATACACCAGCTTCATACCTGTGGACAACATGAGATTTAAAGCTGAGAGTGTTTGGTTCGAGTAAATACCGATACTGTTTGCAGGTACATCCAACTGATAAATCCCAAACGAGGCAAAACTCTCGTTCTTGACTCCACTGTTAGCCACATACTAAGACTTAATAGTATTTCAAGACAATCACGTATACACGTATAGGAAGAAGAAACGATCAATTAAAATAAAATAACCTTTAGGATAGTGAGAAATATTCGTAGCCTACACCTGTTCTTCATGTAGATAAACTATTTATAAAATCTTTAATGTTGTTCCTAAGCGTCAACATAAGCTTCAATACAATTAAATGATCAGAATTTCTTCACAATTAGCTAGTAATTATTCATATCTCATTAGTAACTTGGCAAACTATTTTTTTATCAGTAATTATGATGTCATCGTTTCATTTTGATTTATTGTGTTTCGTTATGTATTCTATACCATTACAACCATTCAATCACAAACTTTATGGATTAGTTTATTATTTATTTGAACACGTAGATATTGGTACAACGAGGCAAAAAGTACATATGCGCCACACAAATCTCATTTGATTTGTGTGAGGGCTGTGTTACTGCACAGGTGCCCAGACCGAACCACGTGGTTTTCTTAGGGGAACACACCACGAGCCTCCGACCTGAAGATCTGATGCACAAGGCAGTGGAGCATCGTAAGGAGATGCACTCCCATGGTAGCCGGTGACCAACGATTTGTTTATACACCATTTGTTCCTTCAGGATACTGGAGCCAGTCCATGTGCACCACTGAGTTGGGATCCGGTTAAAGCACCGGACATTCGCTTTTCGTCCTCTCATTTTCGTAAACAACAGTCGTGGTGCGCGAAGGCAGTGAGTAGGACTTCCCTGGTAAAGGTTATATACGCGTGGCGATGTGAGAGCATTTGGAGAGGGAGAGCGAAATCTCCCCACTCTCGGCCATGCCAAGGCATTTGGGAGCATAATGAGGCCCAGCAGGGATTTGAACCCACAACCATTCGCACTAGAAGTGGGTATGGCATCCCTTAACCCCAGGACCATTTACGTGTTTATGTATTCTTCACATATGTAGGTGTGACCACGCTACCTTATGGTATGATAGTTTATCATCTGTATTAATTCCAAAACAGCAACAACAAAGATTCTAGCTAAAATCTTTGTTCTTCCTCTTTTCAAACTTTTCAAAAGGTACAATATGTATGAAATTATTCACATGTGGTAGAATTATTCAATTTCTTAATTTCTGAAGTCGATTTTATGATAGTTGGTCGATTCACTGAACATTTTTTTTCTGATGAAATTGCCGGGGGGTAATCATATTTTTTTTGTTTTTTTGAGGTAAAGGAAAGAGAAGGCAAGAAGGAGCATTTATGATTTTTTTTCCATTAAGTTAAATAGACAGGAATTGTAATCAAAAAATATTTTTTTGAAATGAATAATAAGCCAAAAAGAAAAACTAACGATTGTTGAATACAGTTCCACTAAGGCTACTACTACTACTACGGGATTAATTGTATTAAAATCCAACCAGGAACGCTAACCGCCAGTGACTTTTTTTTTTCTAGTTCAATTTTTTGGTTTACCCTTTTGTGATTGGTCGCAATTACATAATTAATTTGGTTACCTTACAATGATTCAAGTTTATGTTTTTGTCAATATATGTACAAAATCGTAACATTTCAAGTTGTTCTGTTAGAATATCATCTTTTTTCCTACATTTCGCTCTCGTTTTGTGTAAGCAGGAAACTGTTGAAATATTTTTTGCTAGATGCCATTATCGAGTCCTCATTGAAACTGTTCGTATTAGAATAGTTCAACTGTTCTTTAATTTACAATTAACTCAACCCAACCGAGAACCACAATAGACCTAGCCGTTTTTGACACATATATTTTTAATATCAGAAGGGGTTTTTGTGGATATTATAGTAATATTAATAGTTGAGATCATGCGTCAATTGAAGCTAGACCACCATGGAAAACCTGGAAACGCTAGACGGCGGCTTCGTTCTAGTATGGAACTCATCAACAGCAACCATCCACGATCCCGTACGCGGGACTCGAACACATGACCTCTCGATCACACGCGCGAACGCTGGCTGAAGTTAGACGTTAATACCGTTGGATGCCGGATCAGTGGTCTAGAGATGAAGTGTTGGCGCGTGAGATTGATAGGTCCTGTGTTCGTGTCCCGTGTGCGGGATCGTGGATGATTACTGTTGAAGTCTCATACTAGAACGAAGCGGCCGTCCAGTGCTTCCAGGTTTTGAATGGTGGTCTAACACTAATCGATTTATGATCTCGATCTCCACAACCTCACACTGATATGTACCAAAGAAGTTGAAAGACGAGTTGAAATCATGTATTGTGGTAAAAAGGCACTCCCTAAAATAAATAGTTTTGAAGATTTTCGACATTGATGCTGATCTTGTTAGTTTTAATGGCGAAACATAGATGATGGCAGACGATTATGAACCATAACGTCGGCTTTAACACTCCCTGGTTGGAATCTTAGAGATAGTACAACTCAGTTTTTTTAAGACGTCAACAAACGTTGCTCAGACTAGAAGCCAGTCGCGATTTTACTGTAACTTTTTTTACTTTCTCCATCTAAGTGAAAGAAACTTCTTTCATTAAAAGAATCCTTTCTGATTGTATTTTTCCTAACTTCACTGCTCCTCCCATTATTATTATTATTATTCTCACACACTAATTCCTTTTCATTTTTTGTTGTTGTTATGCTCACCTCTCGTTCTCTATCCGTTCACAACCTCAATTTTATTGCGCGGCGCACACTTATTTTGGTGACCCGTTGTGCTTATGTTTATATGTTTAAATAAAAGAAATAGATGAATGAACTTAATCGTTGCCTTATATAGCAAATTAATTGATTTTAGGATCGTAGCATTAGAAACCGATCCGATGGTTTTGATGATTAAACGTTTATTGTAAGATCTAAAGATGCTGTGTCGAACCGTGTCTGTGTGTGTGTGTGAGAGAGAGAGAGAGCTCTACCAAAAAGAGACCTATAATAGAACGAAACAGATATTCCGTGCTTTTTAGTTTAAAACTTTACCTCGACTATAATCAATCTATGACGAATATATAATGAAGTTTTTCAGGAAAGTTCAAGCATGAAGTGACCTTAGACAAGAACAAAAAGAAAAATAACGGAACAGACTAAAAGTGCATATTTATTGTCAATGTACATTTAAGAATAATAATGTATAAAGGCAATGACAAACTCAATGATTATTATTGATTAGTAACATATGATAAAATAAGGGTATAATATAAAATGATTATAAGTGAAATGATTTCCCCATATATAAACAATACAATAAATAATGATTAAATAAATAAGCAGGTATTTCTAGCACATGTACTATATTTAAATATAATAATGATAGGAAAAGTACATGTCCTCTTATTTCAATCAACCATAACTAAATAGGTATAAATTGTTAAAATGTTTATAATAAGGTTGAATGATCATAGCAATACATATATGAGTCCTTTTGATAAAGAAAACAACAGCAGCAACAACAACAACAACAACAACAAACATATAAGACATTGGAAAGAAAAAAAAACCAGAAAGAATTCGAATTCCATTGGGTGTATCATTTCTGTCAATATTATAAATACATTATGAAAACGAATATTAACCAACATGAAATAGAACTTTCTATTTTCTGTATTCAACTATCTAATTTAACAACAACAACAAAAAAAAAAAAGAATTGAAATTAAGTAGATAAGTGAACATATTGTTACATCATGGTTGATTAAATTTAATCAATATTAGGAAACAAACGAATATAATATATAGTTACTAATCT